ATCAAAATCTAGGGTCTATTTGAGCAAATGCATCTGACACGTTTGAATATAGTAGGATCTCCTAGAAAAAATTTGGCTATAATCAAGATGACTAGAGAGATGAATTGCAGTGTGTCTCTGATCAAGAAAATCGATATGAAAGGAACCTAAGAGTTTTAGATTAATAAAAAATTTTGAATAACATCCAGATTAGGTCACCAAAGAAGAAACTTGCCAACCAAAGTTAAAGCAAAAGGAGCAGCCAACTAAGAAACCACAGCGTCATCGAACATTAAAGAAGCACACCCTTTAAAAGAAGTTTGAACAAAATGCAATTTAGCACCTGTGGAAGAAGATCCGGCCAAAAAATCCTTGAAGGACTGAGATTTGCCCTCAGAAATTAAAGGAGACGAAGGGATAGATGATGACGGAGTTGTCATCTCCCAAAGCTAGAAAACCCAAAAGAATCTTTAAAACAAAGTATGAAACAAATGAAACAAACCACAAGGAAATAAATCAAAGAGAAAAAGACAAAAAAATCCATTCCAGAAGTGGGGATAAAGGAGCTCGATAGAGGAAATCCTAGATCGCCATGGAGTCGCCAAATAGCACGAGCGAGAAGAGTTTGTATGCAATTAGAGGGGTTTGGATTATCTTTCATGGAAGTTCTTGATTTTTTTTTTCTTTGAAGATCTGGAATTAGTTGTGAGATTTTTTATTAATTATCATAGTTAATAGTATCTATTCACTTAGAAGAATTTAAATCTAAGGAAAAGGAGATGGCTTAAATTTATTAAAGATTATTATTTGACTATTCAATATCCATCTAATAAGGCTAATCTAGTAGCAGATGATTTGACCAAGAAGTCTTTTGGAATATCACATATTCAACTTATCTTTAATGATTTTTTGAATTGGGATATAAAGAGACTTTAGTTGGAGGTGATTACTCATATTGATTATGATTCTAGTATTCTAACTTAGATGATTATACTACCATCTTTACAAGAAAGGATTCAAGAACCTCATAAGTTAGATATATAATATCTAAAGTTGATTGATTAGATCAAGTTTGATAAGAAATCTAAACTACGAGCATCTATTTCTAATATTATCTTTTAAATGAATAGATTATGAGTTCCTATTTTCTAAGATTTGAGCAAGAGATTTTAAACAAGGTATATTATTATAGCTATATATTCATCCAAGAGGAAGCATAATGTATAATGATAAGAAAGGTATGTTCTAGTGGCTTTGACTAGAAAAGAATTTAATAGATTTTATTTCAAAATGTGAAGTCTATCTATTAGAGATAGCAAAACATTATTGATTGGAAGGATTTATGTAGTCGTTGCATATTTCATAGCAAAAATGGGAAGACGTGATTTTAAATTTTGCTATGAGTTTTCTTAGGTTGAGATAGGGCCATGGTGCCATCTAGGTTGTGGTAAATGGTGTGACAAAGTCTACTCATAATGTTATGATGCAATGATCAAATTGAATAGACAATTGGCATAGTTATATATGCATGAAATCATCAATCTACTTTGGATATTCAAGGTGATCATTTCTGACAGAGATGATAAGTTTACCACTAAAATATATAGAGGTATTCAATAAGGTTTAAGCATAATTTTACATTTCAATACAATTTTTCATCATCATACTAATAAAAAAACTAAGAGGACTAATATATTTTAGTTTTTTTTGGTAATTAGGAAGATCACATTCCTCTAATTGAGTTTTCTTACCATAATAGCTTTTAGTCAAGTATAGTTATGGCCCTCTAAAAAGCTATGTATGGTAAGCAATACATAACCCCTTTGTCTTGGATAGAGGAAGATAAAAGAAATATTATAGGGACAACTTTGGTTGATGACGCTACAAAAAATATTCATTTGAGGATGGGTAGATTGAAAACTATGTAGATATGTAGAATATGTATTAGGATTTGAAGAACTGAACATTAGAGTTTCTTGTGGAGACTTTTGATATGCAAACATCAAGCCAAAGAAAGGTATCAACAAGTTTGGGAAAGAAGAAAAGTTGAGTCAAAGATACATTGGACTATTTAAAGTTATTAAAATAATTGAAAGATATTCCTACATGTTATAATTGTCTGATCGCATGTCTAACCGTCATAATATGTTTCATATGTCGGTTCTAAGGAGATAGGTACTTGATTCAAAAAATTGTCTATATGTTGAAGACATTGTGGTATGTTTGTCTGAGTTATAGAGAGGAATTAGAGAGTATTTTAGCTTATGATATTACAAAGATAAGAAACAAACAAATTTAAATGATTAAAGTTTGAGAAAAAAATTAGAATAAAAGAGAAGCTATTAGAGAGGAGTTTCTAATGAAGAAATTATATCCTAATCTGTTCCAATGATCTAAGTTATAAAATATTGAGGAAGATATTTGTTTGAGTAAGGGAGATTTATGACACCTCCAAAATCAATTTATAATTCTACCCATTTTGCCACAATCTTAAAGAGGTGATGAGCTAAGTCTCTGCATTTAAATGCATCTAAATGTGTTTGAAAATATTTTGTGTGCGTATAAGAGCCTGCATGCATTCTATAATGGGTCCCAATAGTCTATTTACTTATTTGAAAAATCTAAAAATTTTATCTCGTGGGGCGCTACGGTGTTGCGGTTGGTAGCTTCATAGTGCTAGCTCTAAGAGAAATCTAAAATTAATTCAGTGCTATGACGTATATAGGGTGCGACAACACCGTGGGCTTTCTAAGGGAGTTACTACATGGAATTGTGATGCTATGAAAAATTTTAATAATTAAAATATAAGAATTTACTATACGTTTCCATTTGATCCAATAGGGGAAGCTACACCAGTGGTTTTGCAAAATATAAGAATATGATGGTACAATTAAATCTTCAAAATAATATTCTAGATAATATATTATAATTTAGTTATATTCTAAAAAGTTGCTAAGTAGTATATTTTACTACCACCTGTTAAAGCATCTTGTTAAATTCTAAAATAAGTTTATTTTTATTTCTTTTACTGTAATATAATAAATTATATGCTTATCTCATTGAAATGTGTGATTCTAAGGAGATAAGATGTGTGTAGATGAAGCTATGTTTTAGTGATATGTACATTCTATTATAGTGCTATATTTTGGGAAACGATAATCCGCAATGTGGTTATAAAATCTCATTTATACAACAATAACTACGTGCATGGCTTGCAATGTTGGTTAGACAATTGTGGTTGAAGGACAATGGTCGAGCATTGGTGGGGTGGTGAAAGGATCGTAGTAGTGTTACATTATTTGAAGGTTTGATGGTTATGGATAGGCGAAAATGATCCTAGGGTAGCCTAACAGCAATAGTCAAGTAGTGAATTATCAATAGCTTTCGGGTGATGGTCGATTGGCTCCATTCAGTTACTGGCCTCATGATGGAAAATGGGAAGTGATTTGAATTTAATGGTTTGGTGGCAATAGTTTTGTCGTGTTTTGATGTCACTGGTTGAGGCGTTGTCCTGATGGTGGTGGTTGGCCGATGGCCTAACAATAGTGGATGGATAGTGGGCCAATGGATATATATAGTTGGGTCTTGACCCAATGACAATAGATGGGTGATTTCCCGATAACGACGATGGGTGGTGGGCTGACGATTATGATTCGACAATAGACAAGAGAGGTATTGAAGCATTAGGCTGATGATATCAATCAAGTGATGAGCTAATGGTGGTAGAGGGACAAAAAGCTATTGTTGATGGATAGGAGATGGCTAAATTGTAGTAGTCTAATGGTGGACAAATGTTTGTTTTTGGGCATTCACTCAATGGCAATGGTCGGTGGTGGTTTTATGGAAGTGGCCAGGCTATGGCCAGATGGGGGTGGTCGGGTTGAACATGGAGCTTTTACAAACCTCTGAGCTCTCTCCAATCTCCCATCCCCTCCATTCACATAAATAGGAGATGTCTATTTTTAGTTTGGGATTGAGACTCTTACCAAATACTCTAAATCCAAAAACACTTCATTATGTGTTACTTAATTTTTCACTCAATCAATTATCATTTTTAAGCATTAAAGAGCCCTAATTATGTCATAATTAACCATCTTAGGCTTGTTAGACTCCTCTCATAGAGATGCTAAATATTATGAGAAGCCTACAAGATTTAGAAAATATTTGATTGTCTAATTAATATCCCAAAGCTTCAAAATATAGTTTATTTAAGTGCTTGATCTTTGCTTGGATCAATTCACTTTTAATGTCCATGGATTTTTCTCATGGAGATGTTCAATTTCAAAATATGTTTTGCTAAAATCGGAGTTGCAATGATCCAAAAGTTAATTAAAAAAAAAAATTAATTCAAATATATATTCTCCTCATCCACTTCTTCTTTGTGTTTGTCAAATGGCGGCGTATCAATTCTATTAGTGTGAAGTTTCTTCAAATGCATGCTTTAATAATGACGACTAGTAAAATATCTCGAAATTTAATTTAATTAAAATTTTTGCGGTCCTAATCTAAGACAAATTGGAGCTCTATCGGATAATTTATTGGTGTACGGGAAAAGGCCGTCTTCCAACGTAACAGAGAGTGAAAAATGGGCATATATATATATATATATATATTTATACTGTATCTAAATATCGTTTTAAATGTCCATTAAGCCGCTTAAACTACGCTAAGACGTATGATGTTAAATTTGAATACGGGGTGGCACGTTGGTGGCCACACAACGAACAGGACGTGAGTGCGACGATCCTGAACAAATTGATAACCCCAGTCATTAGAAGAACCACTGATAATCTTACAGCTGTGCAAAATTGCCCATTTACGAAGTCTAACAGTGGATCCTTCCGCATCAACTTTTCTCAAATTTTAATGATCCCATGAATTAAAAAAAATTGCAAGTTCACGCTTTATTTCTCATTCAAACCCTAAACCGAAAATGAGCACTTGCTTACGCATTACAGCATGCTTAAGTGCTATAAATGGTAGGCTAAGGAGACGATATAATATATCTTCTCAGCAAAAAAAGAGGGGAGTGGGAGAGAAAGATACAGAGCATTAATGGAGCCTAATAATGTCGATGGGAGGGAGATAGGAAGGGAGACTGCTCCTGGTAAGGGAAGCAATAGAGTGTTTTCAATAGAAGATGGTGGTACAGTAGCTAGGAATTCAGCCACCGAAGACGAAAAGGTAAAAAATCCTAAGGAATTGTATGTGGAGGAACTCTTTCCTCTTCAGTCCTTAATCTCTTGAGAAACTGATAATTTTCTTCTATGTATAGACAGCTGCATGGAAGAAGTTTTTGAAGCACTTAGGGCCTGGTTTTCTTGTCTCGTTGGCTTATTTAGACCCTGGAAACTGTAATTAGCTTCTCAATAGTTATATCTAGCTTTCTATAATTACGCCATTTTTAAATAAGATTATTGTATATGGGACACTGCTAATAATGATCGAAATATGGAACAGTGGAGACTGACTTGCAGGCAGGGGCTAATCATAAATATGAGGTTAGTGGTTTCAGAGTGATTCATTAAGTTTGATTTTTAAAGGAAAAGTTTTGATTAAGTTGATTAGAAAACGGGAACTAACCCATAACTGTATACAGCTACTATGGGTTATTTTGATTGGACTAGCCTTCGCGCTCATAATTCAATCACTGGCTGCAAATCTTGGAGTAACAACAGGTGACAGTACTATTCAACCAAGTAGCAACAACAAAAGTTTTATTATTGATTTTGAGGATAAAAAAAATTAAGATGAGAATATCTTGACAGAATTTTGACAATGATAAATCTTAGAATACTTAAATATTTTTTGAAATATGTGCAATATAACTACTTACATATTTCAAATCATTTCAGAGCAAATCAAAAAATTTAAAAATGATTATGATCCATTTTTAATTAGAGAATTCTAATAATAATTTTTTTATTGAAGAACATAAAAAAGATATAACAAAAGTAATTATTTTAAATTATACATGTATCTGACTAAACTAACTTACAGGGACACTCATCTTCTAAATTATAATAGATGCTTAACATTAATATAATTGTAGTAAAAGAAGCTGATCATTAAAATCACGTGACTGAAATTGCCAATTGTATTTTTCTGATAATGAAGGAAAACATCTGGCTGAATTATGCAAGGCTGAATACCCCATGTTTGTCAAATACTGCTTATGGCTACTTGCAGAGGCTGCAGTAATTGCTGCAGATATCCCCGAAGGTGATTCATCTCTCTCTCTCTCTCTCTCTGTATATATATATATATATATATATGAGTTATTTGTTGTTAATGGTTTTTTCTTATATAAACGTGCAGTTATTGGAACTGCATTCGCTTTAAATATACTGTTTAAGATACCAGTGTGGGCCGGCGTTCTTATGACTGGGTGTAGCACTCTACTGCTGCTTGGATTGCAGAGATTTGGGGTTAGTGTGATTTAACTAATCATCTAAATGACATAAAACGGTATCAAGGTTGCATTTGTTTTCTGTCAGCGTGAAAATTTGTTTTAGAGAGTAGTACTTTTTTTTAATCATTTTATGTGCAAATTAAATAATAATTTTTGTAGAGAATTTGATAGAATTTTTGTTGATTTATTCCAACATTGATATCATAAAAAAGAATTAAATCTGCCGTATGCGAAATATTACTCAATAAATTTTGACAGCATTTTTTTTTTTGAAATAAAAGATTATATTCATTCTAATTTGTCGGCTTAGCCACTTGGTTTTGCTTGCCATCTTTGCCGTGCAAAACTTGAAATCTTTTGTAAAATTTGAAACAGACAAAAAATATTAAGAAGGAAACAAGCATAGAACAGACAAAGGAACTCATTTTATTAATATTTTAGAAATCCCTGACAGTTTATTTCATCTTAAATTTATTATGGGAAACTCCTCCCTATAGCTTCTTACCAAGCACAATCAACATGAAAAGTGATTAAATAATTATGTAATTTAAACGTTTTGATATGTGAATAAAATATATACACAGGTGAGAAAGCTGGAACTTCTGGTATCTGTACTTGTGTTTATTTTGGCTGGTTGCTATTTTGGTGAAATGAGCTATGTCAAACCTCCTGCATCTGAGGTTATGAAGGGGCTTTTCGTGCCAAGGCTCAAAGGAAACGGTGCCACGGCTGATGCAATTGCTCTTCTTGGAGCTCTTATTATGCCGTAAGTTATATCTATTAAATAACTGTAAAACTAGTCTAGGCAGAAAAAAAAAATTAAGAAAAAATACCAAAGGTAAAACTTATTTTACCTTTATTTAGATCAAATAAAAGTTAGAGAAAAATAAGAAAATTCAATGAAGATGTACTCATAGATTTGAAAATTATAGCTTTCTTTTTGTTAATTTACTTCAGCTCAAATTCCGGTAGCCAAATATAATGGCCTGATTGGCTTCCTTCTTTGAAATTAATTGCTAAGAATTATCACCTAATTGTGAATAACAGGCATAATCTTTTCCTTCACTCTGCCTTGGTGCTCTCTAGAAAGACTCCAGCCTCTGTGAAAGGAATAAATGTGAGTATCAAATTATATTTCTCATTTTTTTATTTGGGGCAATTGCATACATATATAACATTTATTTTTTATCTATTTATTTTAATTTTTAAATTTTATCTAAATATTAAAATTTATAAATTTTTTTTTTTCATTTTTCTCTGCCATAAATAATAAATATGAGTTTCATAATTAGATAATATTTGAATGATAAGTGCTTTTTTTTTGGAAAATTTACATACATACCACTTTATAACATCCTATTTACATATCTAACACCTAAAACTTTAATATTACATGCATACCACCTTATATTATTTTAATATCAAATATACCACTTATATTTCTTTCCTACCACTCATATATTTCATTTCTACCACTCATATTTGATATGAAAATGAACGGGCAGTATAATGGAGCCTATAATGTCGAAGGGAGGGAGATAGGAAGGGAGACTGCTCCTGTAAGGGAAGCAATAGAGTGTTTTCAATAGAAGATGGTGGTACAGAAGCCTAGGAATTCAGCCACCGAAGACGAAAAGGTAAAAAATCCTAAGGAATTAGTTGTGGAGGAACTCTTTCTCTTCAGTCCTTAATCTCTTAGAACTGATAATTTTCTTCTATGTAAGACAGCTGCATGGAAGAAGTTTTGAAGCACTTAGGGCCTGGTTTTCTTGTCTCGTTGGCTTTATTAGACCCTGGAAACTGTAATTAGCTTCTCAATAGTTATATCTAGCTTTCTATAATTAGTCCATTTTTAAATAGAATTATTGTATATGGGACACTGCAATAATGATCGAAATATGGAACAGTGGAGACTGCTGCAGGCAGGGGCTTAATCATAAATATGGGTTAGTGGTTTCAGAGTGATTCATTAAGTTTGATTTTTAAAGAAAAGTTTTGATTAAGTTGATTAGAAAACGGGAACTAACCCATAACTGTATACAGCTACTATGGGTTATTTTGATTGGACTAGCCTTCGCGCTCATAATTCAATCACTGGCCTGCAAATCTTGGAGTAACAACAGTGACATACTATTCAACCAAGTAGCACAACAAAAGTTTTATCATTGATTTGAAGATAAAAAAAATTAAGATGAGAATATCTTGACAGAATTTTGACAATGATAAATCTTAGAATACTTAAAATATTTTTGAAATATGTGCAATATAAACTACTTACATATTTCAAATCATTTCAGAGCAAATCAAAAAATTTAAAAATGATTATGATCCATTTTTAATTAGAGAATTCTAATAATTAATTTTTATTATTGAAGAAACATAAAAAAGATATAACAAAGTAATTATTTAAATTATACATGTATCTGACTAAACTAACTTACAGGGACACTCATCTTCTAAATTATAATAGATGCTTAACATTAATATAATTGATAAGACTGTCTTAAAACCACGTGACTGAAATTGCCAATTGTATTTTTCTGATAATGAAGGAAAACATCTGGTGAATTATGCAAGGCTGAATACCCCATGTTGTCAAATACTGCTTATGGCTACTTGCAGAGGCTGCAGTAATTGCTGCAGATATCCCCGAAGTGATTCATCTCTCTCTCTCTCTCTCTCTCTCTCTCTCTCTCTCTCTCTCTCTCTCTTCTCTCTTCTCTATATATATGAGTTATTTGTTGTTAATGGTTTTTTTCTATATAAACGTGCAGTTATTGGAAACTGCATTCGCTTTAAATATACTGTTTAAGATACCAGTGTGGCCGGCGTTCTTATGACTGGGTGTAGCACTCTACTGCTGCTTGGATTGCAGAGATTTGGGTTAGTGTGATTTAACTAATCATCTAAATGACATAAAACGTATCAAGGTTGCATTTGTTTTCTGTCAGCGTGAAAATTTTTTTAGAGAGTAGTAATTTTTTTAATCATTTTATGTGCAAATTAAATAATAATTTTTGTAGAGAATTGATAGAATTTTTGTTGATTTATTCAACATTGATATCATTAAAAAAATTAAATCTGCCGTATGCGAAATATTACTCAATAAATTTTGACAGCATTTTTTTTTTGAAATAAAAGATTATATTCATTCTAATTTGTCGCTTAGCCACTTGTTTTGCTTCCATCTTTGCCGTGCAAAACTTGAAATCTTTTGTAAAATTGAAACAGACAAAAAAAATTAAGAAGGAAACAAGCAGAACAGACAAAGGAACTCATTTTATTAATATTTTAGAAATCCCTGAGTTTATTTCATCTTAAATTTATTATGGGAAACTCCTCCCTATAGTTCTTACCAAGCACAATCAACATGAAAAGTGATTAAATAATTATGTAATTTAACGTTTTATATGTGAATAAATATATACACAGGTGAGAAAGCTGGAACTTCTGGTATCTGTACTTGTGTTTATTTGGCTGGTTGCTATTTTGGTGAAATGAGCTATGTCAAACCTCCTGCATCTGAGGTTATGAAGGGCTTTCGTGCCAAGGCTCAAAGGAAACGGTGCACGGCTGATGCAAGTTGCTCTTCTTGAGCTCTATTATGCCGTAAGTTTATATCTATTAAATAACGTAAAACTAGTCTAGGCAGAAAAAAAATTAAGAAAAAATACCAAAGGTAAAACTTTATTTTACTTTATTTAGATCAAATAAAAGTTAGAGAAAAATAAGAAAATTCAATGAAGATGTACTCATAGATTTGAAAATTATAGCTTTCTTTTTGTTAATTTACTTCAGCTCAATTCCGGTAGCCAAATATAATGGCTGATTGCTTCCTTCTTTGAAATTAATTGCTAAGACTTATCACCTATTGTGAATCAGGCATAATCTTTTCTTCACTTGCCTTGGTGCTCTCTAGAAAGACTCCAGCCTCTGTGAAAGGCATAAATGTGAGTTATCAAATTAATATTTCTCCATTTTTTATTTGGGAGCAATTGCATACATATATAACATTTATTTTTTATCTATTTATTTTAATTTTTTAATTTATTCTAAATATTTAAAATTTTATATTTTTTTTTCATTTTTCTCTGTCATATAATAATAAATATGAGTTTCATAATTAGATAATATTTGAAATGATAAGTGTTTTTTTTTGCTGAAATATTTACATTCCAAAGATATACCAGTCTCATCAGACTATCACAGGAATTTTGTACGCTTCGCTTATATTATTAGACAAAATGATTTCCTTAAGGTGTAACGTGGGGTAGATGCCACTGGTGACAAGCTGGCCCTGTAAAATTAAATAAATAATGAATAAAGAAAAAAATCTGCAGAACATAACCTGTGAATGAATAAATAGGCAAGTAATACATTCTAAAAAGAATTATTAATATCTCATGACATTTTAATATAAATTATACTAGAATGAGTATAAAAAATTAATTTAGATACTAATTATTTTATTTATTAAAAAAATTAAAGTCCATTAATTTTATAAGAAATGAATAATTATAAATCCATCTTCATATATAATTTATATGAGACAATTATTATCATACCTGAAAAGGACTATAAGCACCATTGCTTAGTCAAAATTTATAATAGTTATGTCTTTGATATTATCCCAAATGGACAAAAATAATTTATCATTTAAGGCTTCATTGAAACAAATTGACAAAACAAGAAGAATCTTTTATAGTATCAAAATTGTTCGAAAATGATTTCTTTTATATATATATATAAATATATATGAGATTTTTCTCATTATCATTTCCTATCATTTTATAAAATCTTAAAACTCAAAACAATATTATTTATTATGATTTTCTACGGAAGAATTATATAGAATGAATTTTGTTAATCTTGTAATGATTTGATTATTAATAAGACATGTAAGAAACAGAGATGGACAAATGAAAATGCCCAATTAAAAAGTTTGAACTTACAGATATACTTTATCAAATAAATTTATTCAACATGTAGGATCACGACAAATCATAATTATAATTACTGGGAAAGATACTAAAATTTATTTTATTTTGTCTATCCACTAGAGTGCATGCAGGTACTTCTTCATCGAGAGTGGAATAGCATTATTTGTCGCGTTACTCATCAACATTGCTGTTGTTTCTGTTTCGGGAACTGTATGTTATGCTAATAATCTCTCTTCAGAAGAAGCTAATCAATGTGGAAACCTAACCCTAGACTCTGCTTCCTTCTTACTCAAGGTTGAAACCCTTTTCTATATCTCTTTTGTTTTTCTCTTAGACTTCGTTTGGAAAGGCTTT